GCTTGGTCGCTTCTTCAACAACCTCCTAGCATCTATGCCATTTACATGGCTGTGTAGCTCACCTAGCAATCTTTGGCCGTAGCTAATTTTGGCAACATGAGACGTGAGGTCCACAAAGCCGTCCGCTTGAAGGCAAGCTTGTCCTTGAAGAAAACAAAGTTGACAATAGTGGTCAATCCACGGTAGAGGGGAAGGCTGATTGTGTGATTGGGTAGACTCTTCGAGGTGGTCATAAACTTGCTTTATTGGATGGAGGAAAGAGTCATTGTCTTCCTTCCAGAGTTGCAAGGGTTTCTTTTTTCTCACCCTCACAACCTAACCATGGTGGTTTGTCTTGGTGTAGAGGATAGTGGATTGAAGATGACACTTAGATGGTAATTGCTGCAATCCTGCATTGCTCAACTTGTTATGTATGTACCTTCCCCATTGGGTAGGCAAGATCCCTCTTTCAATACAATTTCACTCCACCATCATCAAAATGATCATCCTCCTACCGCAGCACACCAACTTGGTGCTTTAGTAAGCATGGGTGGACATATCGAGGGTGCACCATTGGAGGCAGGAATAACTTCTGTGAGACACCTTGTCATGGCATATGCTAGACAATTTACACCTATTAACAATGTATTGTAGTTGGGGGGGGGAAATCGCTTCATGCCCTTGGGAAATGCTATCCTAAAGAAAGGTCGACTCCACCACCACAGTGTGGGGAGCTTGGCATATTGCCCTAACAGACAATTTTCTTGTAGACACCAACTATCTCCTTTGCCTTATGCAACGTTGTATTGAAATATCATGAATTGCACCTAATGTATGTGTGATGCTTTAAAGTAAGTCACGCTTCATGTTGCTATCAGGCTTGACATATGCAGACGTCAGATCATCGAACCTTGCAAACAAGCGATCTGTCCTAAACAGCAGATAGACAATTTGCTAGTTGGCAAATGCAATTTGTTGCCACACGGGATATTTCCTATTTCTCAATAATGTATTTTTGCCAGGTGACCCTTGTGACCCCATCCCAGAATGGTGTGTCTTTGAGCATTGATGATGGGATGGCAGGCCAGAATTGTAGCAGGATGCTCAAGGGCTGACGCATCCACGCCCAATGGCGTCCTTGCCCTTGTTTTCGCTAGAAAACTAGCACATCGCTTCATAAGTCTATTAGCCCATGCACTGCCAGTCTCCCAAGCACCTCATGGTGGGCTTCTAACAACTAGTGAATTGCCATTGTAGAATATGCTATAGGTACTGGCTGTCCATAGTGCATGTCACTGTTGAATAACCTGATATCTCCTTGTAGACCTAATGGCATCCATTCTTGTTGCGTTGGTTCTGTTGTTTCTTTCTGTGCTTTGGACCAGAGATTCGGCTTGTGCTTTATTGACAACTCTGCGACATTCCAGCATGCCTCTGCTGTTGGATAATACACGACCAGATGATGCACACGTGAGGAGCTTATTCCACAAGCATGGCACTACTCCATTATGGCTTGCATTGGGAAGAATGGCAGCAGAAGAGTATTTGAAAATGTATTTTGGCTTTGAAGAGTGTGGTGGGTTTTAACATCATGTATTGTCCCGCAATTCAGCAATTTACTGTTGCTAGAACGGGTGGAAGAACTATACAGATAGGCAATGTTTTGGCAGCCTTTTTTTCAGTCCATAGTCTTGCATCAAATTTAAGAGCACCTCAAAATGTTACCAGCTTTTTACTCGCCAATGCTGTTATACATGTAAAGAGTCTAGAAGAGTGTGTGTGTGACGTGTCCATGATCTATCGAATGAAATGGTATACAGGCATCACCATTTCCATCCGACCAGGTGGTATGGAAATTTCCAACTCAATTCCAACCTGGTTGGAATCGCAATTTTGACCTAACTGTCGAAGTCAAGATTCGGACAGCGACCATGACAGTCAAAGTCGAGCAGAAGTGGTCAGCCCCATTTCGGCTGAAGTCAAGTTCGGAATCAGGTTTTCATGGATGAGAAAACGAACGAGAAGTCTAATTGTCCAGTACTTGGGGTTGGATGGCGTCAGACGGACAGAGACTTTTGCCAAGAGCTGACACTGAGGTCAGAGTTTCCGTTCTGATGGATGGGACGGCAACGATTGGATAAGCTTGCAATTCGAACAACTCGCTGAATGGAGCTCAGAACGAAGGAATGGTTGTACACCGTTGCAGAGAAACTGTTGAGCATTGTACAAGGAAACCGGCCAGAAATTGCACTCTTGAATATGGCAGAGTACCAAGTTGGATTTTTCCAACCACAGATTCAGGCCAAGCCAATTGGATGGAGCACAAACCCACAACCTCGGCTTTAGCAGCCGGAAGAATTTACAACTGGTCGAGCGGAGTCAGATGGAAAGCGCCAAAAGGAATGGGTTCCATGAAGGGAGGAGAATCCCCATGATGTCATCATCATCATCATCTCATTTCCCCATGATGTGGTCAGAGACAAAACTTTCTAGGTCAAAAACTGCGACCCTGGGGGTCGCAGTCAGACGAATTTCTAATTTTCCCACCCATGGCGACCACGGCGGTTAACTACAGAGGGGTGCCCAGTGCATGGCATGGATTCTTTGCAGCCCCAAGCGCATGCTCCACGTCCATGCACCCTGTCCAGGAAAACTTGGCAACCATCCTATCAAGTATGTGGATACGCTATGGTGTGTGTCGGATACGATTCACCAGTAGAAAACAGCCTCTTTGCGATACCAATTGTGATGCCATTTGACACAAATTGACGCCATCACCGCCGCCTTTATCCCGTCACAATCACAGTGACGGCATCATTTTGCGTCAAATTGGCGTCGCGATTGGTATCGCAAAAGAATGTTTTCTGCCAGTGATTGCTAGTGGCATGAACTCTCAAAATGGCACGTTCCATGCGTTTTTCCATTAACCCGCTACATGTTTGTAATTGACAAACAAAGCTTTGACCAATGTTTAATGATTAATGTTTAAATCTGTGCCTGTTCCAGGGCGATTGTGTTGGGCCAGGATGACATATGGCCATCAACGTGCCGTCAAGTAAACCGCAAGAAAGAGTCGCTGATTGGATAGGCGTCGTATATTCTACTACGGTGCATGAGCATCTTGCCAAAGTACAGCCACGGTGAAGGGTCTCGCTTCACGATCTCAGAAGTCAAACTCTATTGTGAGAGCAAGAGCATCATTGCCCACGTGCCCATGCATGTACATTGGGGACTTGGGCCAGGCTCTAGCCCGAAAACCGCTCTTGATTGGATTTGTTGGCAGTTGTGAAGGGTATGTTCGTGGGCCACGTAGTTAGGATGCAGCATTCCTTTCTGTTTATGTTTGCTGACAGCGATGAGGCAATGCTCCCCATACATGGCCATGGGGCATTGGCGTTGTGCGACGTGGACAAGGAATCATTGGGCCAGTTGTGGATTCCTAGTATGCTCTGAGTGTTGGCACATTTGTTAGAATCGCATGGAACGTTTTTTGCACGTTGGCCACAGGATCCCTGGGATTTGTCACAATATCTGAGGCGGGTGGTGCTTGAGTCGAGGTCTGCCCCAGCTTGGATCATCGAAGCACAAGGGAAACTGTGGCATTGCGGAATATGGCATCCTTGTGCCCAATGCGAGTGGCGTTGCACGAACACTTCTATTGAACTCGTTTCCAGGCATACTGAATGCCAATTTCACGTCTCCTTTGGGACTAGTCTGGACCTATTCTGGCCAATTCAATGTTCCATATGGAGTGAGTTTCAACGCACACTGCCACGCGAAGCTGTGTTGCAATTGGGCATTGATCAAAGGGATGGCGGCTGCTTCGCCAGGTGGTGAGTGGTGGAAACCGCTGGTGAAGATGGGTACGGCAGCACAATGGAAATCACACCATGGGTGCCATTTTGACATGTCAAGATGATGGATGATTTTAACGAGTTACTGAAAGTCATTTGCTCAACTTTCCAGCTCATTGATGTCTGAGCATGGTACAAACTGTGTGGTATGTACTTTTTGTTCCGCTGGTGGCTCCTGGGGGGCCAATAGAGCATTTCTTGGCGATTCATTGCTTTTGTGGGACAGGCGTAATGCGGGCTTCTCGCCAGTACATCAGAGAAAAGTCGCGTATCACATCCAGGACAAGGCTGGATCCCAGGATGTGGGCACCCACATCCCAACATCTGGCGGCCATATCCCATATCCTGGGTATGGCATCCACCTGAATCGTGGGATATGGCCCTATCGTCGCCCGTATCCTCAGCATATCCCAGCACATGGACGCCCATACAGCGTCCACATCCAAGATATGGTTTAGCTATACCATACCCAGCATGTGGGGATTTTCTTTTCATCGACGTTAGTAAGAGAACGCTAATCCATTTTCATGATTGGGAAGTTTCTTTTAGGTTTCCATTGTGTCCAGGTACGAATATGCAGGATCGTTCGTTCAAGCATGGAAAGCGTCCAGGTTCTGAAATCCCGTGGATGGACAGTGCAGTCAGTCGAAACAGAAAACTGCTTGATAACGTTGTACCTGCGTCAAGTGCAACAGCGGCTGTGATAATGAAGCATGAAGGCGATGAACAGCCCGCCAAAACGACACTCGTGAGAGGAGCCGAGTAAGGGATTCTAATTCCTTTCTTTGCCTCTTCTTTCTCACTCTTTTTACTTTCTCACATTGGTCATCTCAATAGCCGCCAGCCAAATCGTGGAGCCATAGAGTTGTACTGCCTTCAGCAACATGGATTGCCCGACGTGCGTCTTGATGTCACCAGAGTGATTCGAGCATGAAGTTGATTCAAGTAAATCTCTTTCCCTCCCTTCAAACCTCCCATCGTCCCTTCGCTGCTTGCGTGCCCCAACCGCTTACGGCTCAAAATCTCAGGCTGGATTCAAACCAGCAGTCTCGCTCTCTCCATTTGCTTGCAGCCGCAAAATCTTGGCGCCGCCCAACACATGATGCATGGCGGTGCCGATTCTAAACTCGTCTTCTCAGCTTTCCGTGTTGCGATCTGTTTGTGCAACTACACAGTGTGGGACAGCAGAACCGATTCCTCGGGGTATAGCACCCTCTGCCATCCTCCCCTCTTGTCTATCCAGCCGTGGCAGTGGAACCGCCACGTCGCGCCGCTCTTGATGTGCTCAACTTCCACCACCCTCAAGTGCCACCCTGGGAACACCCCCGACCCATCCAGCCCAACTCGCAGTTCCTTTATGTCACCCAAATAGGGCAGCCGTGGGTAGATGAACATCCTTGCCGTTCCCCTGTCAGGGCAAACCACGCAGGCCTTCATGTAGTTTGTGAACATTTCCACATTTCCATTTTTTTGTTTGTCTCAACTTTTGGCCCGAGTGTTGAATCGGGACCGCCAAGTTGCGGAACAGAAGTCTTGGGACGGGCTGCTGATCAAAAACAAGAAAACGACGGAAGGGAGGGAAAAAGTATCGAATCGCCGATGTCACATGGACAAAAGTAAATGCCAAAGAGAAGAAAAAGAAACTGGATTTCACACGGTACACGATGTGGAACTCACAAGAGATGCGATTGCGTGAATTGCTTTCCATTCGTCGGGTACACACTTACCGCATATGATATCGTATATCACGACTTCACAATGAGATCATAAATGATCTCATCATGAGATCATGACTATTAGGTTTGATCATTCTGAACCTATGCGATGAGCCGCCGTGGGCCCGCCGTGGGCCCACAATCGCGGGTGCCGAAATGGATGAGAAAAGTGACAATAACAACACGCGAACATGGCACTACATTGGGAGACAAACTGCTCATCTCGCGCTTGGTCCCGCTGACCGTGCAGGCAAAGAGCTGACGTCGTTCCTGAGATGCAAGCGCCGTTCATTCTCAGCACGGCACATTTACTGCCCCGAAGGCATGTCCGCTTCAGAGAGACGACCTACCTGGCAAATTGATCGTCTGGCTTGCCCTGTGCGGGGATCAGCACTCCGGAGGAAATGGACTCCCCGACCAACTCAAAGAACACTTGTGCGCTAGTTCCGGCAAGCCACACGTTGCTCGTCCAAAACGTGATTCGATAGCCGGTGTGGCCTACGGGCGCCCGGGAACGAACCGCCTGCTTCAGAAACAGGCACGCCCCACAGTCATTCGTCAGTCGATTGTTTTACTCTCATTCCCTTTTTTTTAAAAGCTTTTATGCCAATTTAAGGCATGGACGGCTTCTTCCGACGCCGCTGACACGTCGGCAAGTGAATCCGAAACTTAGAAGAGAAACAAAAGAGAAGAAAGGCTTACACCAAGGCAAAAGCATGAAAAATTTTGGAGATGAACTGCTCCCAGTACATCGCTTCACCAGCCGTCCTCCGCTGTAGCAAAAACGCTAACAAGGGCAGAGAAATTTCTTGTCTCGCACTGCATTACCATGCCCTCGAGATGGTCCTTTTCGCTGTCAGTGTTGCTCGCGCGCCGCGCTGTATCCTCCACCAGGAGCACCCTTGTCGTTCTGCCCTCATCTTCCCCCTTGTCAAGCCACCTGTGGCGCGAGCCAAAAATTTTTGAGTCGTTCCTTTGTATGGGTACTGTGGCCGCTCGTCTGTTATTCAAGCAGGTGAAGTCGCAGGATGATCTTGAACGTTCTTGAAGCAACGGCGATGTTGCATCTTAGCCCATATTCGACCAGCAGGCAACTGTAATGAATAGAGCGAATGAATTGAAGCATATGATAGTTTGGACCGAGCAAAAGAAGCGCTCTATCTGACTGCATGTTTGTATTCAACTGGATTAATTGCATTGGATCAAAACGCACCTTCAGCGTGTCAAGAGCGCAATACATAGTCTGTATTATACATCTTTTCGGGGCATTGGTATGGAGGCTGATGTTGAAATACATGACAATAGAATGGCATTTGAAGCAAGTTTGCGCCATTGCCAAGAGCCCCGTTAATTTTAACTAAATCAGAGCAGCTCGCAGACCAGGCGCTCTGCTGCGTATCGAGCTCAACATGATTGTTACGTCAACGACAATATGTCCTCCATCTTTTAGAATAGGAACGGCACCTGAGCCCTTTAATGAGAAACGTCAGAGGTTACGTCATGCAATACACTTTTGTTAGCGTACCCCACATGTCGCATAATGGACAAAAACTCTGCACTTCAGAAATGACCTTGGCGTGCCACCTCTTGAAACTGATTCAAATTGGAGTCCAGAAGAGCGAGACAGCTGAAAGGCGCACCTGCGGCACGGGAAGTACCACGAATCCCCGCCGGCCACCCTGGCGACTTTGACACCTTCCAAGTGCCACCCCGCGCCGAATCCCTTCCCGTCATGGCCGATGGTGATCTTGGTGAGATCGCCCAAATGCGGCAGCGCGTCGAGAGTGAATCTGTCCAGGCTGCCGCGCTCGAAGGTGTTCTTTGAGCGTGTCTCCAGCGGATGGGGCCCCGTGGCCCTGGAAGCGCCGTGGAGGGTGATGGACACGCTTGAGTCCGTTCCCGCGCCTCGGAGATTGCTCGTCTTCACCTCCACCTGGATTTGCAACACTTGCGCCTCGGTGCAGCAATGATCTGAATGTGATGGTTAAGTTTGATATAATTGGTATTCTGGGTCTAATAGCTGATTTATGTACAATAACATTCGGAATACCATGTTCGTTTAATATCTGGAACTGTGGAAAGTTGGTCCGTTGTGATTTAATTACAGATGCAGAGAATATCACGTGTGTGGGGTCTGCTGCAGCTTGGGTACAGTCGCTGAACCAGTGGAAGTGTTATTGCAAATGACCAGGACATGCTTCATCTGTAGGAGACCTTCACAATCTCAATCTTGGTAAGGAGCAAGGAACGAGGGGTTTCGTGCCTGTTCACCTTCTCCTAATCTCGACGCGCAACAGTGGTCACTCAAGATGAGGCGAAAGCGTCTTGCTCTGTGATGTCACCACCCTAAAAACGCAAGAATCTGTAGTTCCGGCAACAAAACATTGCACCAACACGCCGCCCACATGAAATTAAGCACAGCGCGCCAGCGGCATACGCGCCCTGAACGGCGTCGCGGGCTCGCGCTCACCTGGTAGTCGCAGGGATCCCGCCCCTCCGCCTGCAGCCTTGCCGGGCAGTCCCTCATCCCCAGCATGCCCTCCTGCACGAACACCCCCTGGGCCCCTGTGTCCTCGTTCACCACCCTCACCACGCCGCACCACGCCGCCTTGAAGCCGTGGCGCACTTCCAAAGTGCTCATCTGGCCAACGTCTGGCATGCGGTCCAGGTGGAAGGCGTCCGTGGCGCCGGGCCGCAGGTGAACGGCCGCGCCGCCGTCCAGGTTGCGCTCCCCGCTGTCGCCGCCGGTCCCTGAGGCCCGGACGGCCACGGGGCCCTTGAGGTCCCGCCCCACGCGCCAGGCCGTCGTGACCTCCACGCGGTAGCGGCTCCTGTCGCGTGTCGGCGAGGGTGTGTTTATTCATGCTGATGCAGCCAGCAGGCTTGTTATTTACGCGGTACGAGCTGATCGTATTTACGTATTTACGTATTTACGTTTACGTTCATAAACAGGCATAAAACAATGTATACACATCAGGGCAATTAGCCTCTTTGGAAGATGGCCGTTTTGTGCGTAGAAACGTAAATGTGAAGAAACCAAGAAAGACAAACGTAAACGTAAACGTAAATAACAATCCTGTGGTCCAGTACTTCGGGCAGTTGAGCGATGAGACAAACGAGCGATGGCGCATTCGAGATATGTGGGTACAACTGAAGACTTCCAAATACTGCAGATGGATGCTGCACTAGGTGCTTAAAAAGCGCATCAAACCAATCAAAATTGAGAGTGCTCACACTGAAGATTGATGTCAATGCTAAACCAGATATGTAATCTTTCCATTCAGGCAGTCCTGAAAGTTTTCTTACCGAGCAATTCGGGCAATCGCGCAGTCCATCAAGCAAGAGAGCAAGCAGACCTGTCGATGGAAGTTTCCACCACTTGGCATATACAATTGCGTAAGAACTGCATCGATAGTACTAAGGCATAAAAAAGAGTTCTACATCCTACTTACGGTTGTTATATATTTCCGTTTACAGAATATTGTCCCCATAACATTGCCATCGTCCAGATGTATCGTATCGGTACAACAGCAAGTCAAATCGCTGCGGGAAACACAGTGCCACTTGCGCGCTACCACTCTTCTACAGCTGAAAACACATTTGCTTGAAAGTTTGTGTGCACAACCTTGCCCAGATCTCCCGTTCTTCACACTGTACCTGATTTTGCTTTAAATGATGTCCCTCTCATTGAGCAGTGCGGTCATGGTTTTGAATTGTCTTTGACCGCCACCAAGCGCGAAGTGCTTAAGCGTTGTCAGAAATCTGTGCAAAATTGACCTACATTTGGTGACATCTTCTTCAGCGTTACCTGCCGTGCGCCGCACCGCCTCCCTCCTCCGGACGCAGCGTTGCAGAAGCCGACGTTCCCTTTGACGATTTAAGCCACCTCTGGGCCAGAAACAAGTAGTTTCTGCCGGATGACTCATCCGTTAGCTCGATGGAATCTAGGTACCAATCAGGACCGCGTCCTTTGCCATTGTGGCTCACCTGCCATTTCGTCAACACGAAGTCACTGATCTGTGTTGCGCACAACTTACGTCCATGTACGTCCACATAGTTATATCCGCATAACTAGGTCTACGTAATTTGGCCAACATACGTAAGCTGTGCGCCATATTGCATAGCCAATTATGTGGACAATTTTGAACTTTCTGCGGTGGTGATCTGAGATCTGCTGGAACAGGGCCATACTTGGCCTTTGATTCGTAGTGTTTCTGTTGCACTTTTCAAGGAATGGGTATACGGGCAAGCATTACAAAGCACTGAGATAGACACTATTTGTTCTCAGTACAGGCTATAATTTATAGCTCGTCTAGTTGTTATATGTAGCCTAGCTGTTCCCAGCTGTTACATCTAGTCTAGATGCATCGTCATTACATCTGGCCTCATACGCCACAACGAAGACAACGGGCCATGCAGTTCCTTCTGGCAAGGCAGAAGGACGCTGTCCTCTTTTTGTTTTAGCGGAGATGGCATCAAATGTTTGCAGACCGATGCAACATTATGGAGTTTGCAAAGCACATACGAGCGTGTTCATATTTACATTGATCAACGCCTTTGTACCGCTCGCATGAAAGAATTACAAAGACATTGGACGGCGTTTCGCCTGCCATGTGGGCGAGCTGAGTGAATCATTACGAGGCGTGGGGGCGTTGGCGCACATTTCGGTTCTACTCTCTCCCAATGCTAAGTGAGTAATTACAAGCCGAAAAACGCTTTGTAAAGCCAAACACACTCAAATATACTACGCTTTATGAAGTTAATTACCTGGATTTCTAAATGAAGTGATAAAACCAAGACTTGAGCCTGAAACGCCTGGTGGTACTCCACCGGTGTAGGACTAGCACCCTTTCATCGAGAGGATATTCCCATGCGCAGCGCACAGAAAATTTTGAAAACGACGAAGAAGATTCCAAAAAAAGCACATCTTGGTCACCTCGATTTCCCTCAGCGGCCCAACGTCCGGCGCCCGCAGACGGAAGGCGTCCCTCTGGCCCCGCTCGAAGACGTCACCCGCCGCCTCCAGCATCATGGGCCCGCTGGTCCCCTTGGCCCCCCTGAGGTCCAGAAACACGTCGGCGTCCGTGCCGGCACCCCGGACGTCGCCCGTCACCACCACCGCTCGCCAAGGGACGCTGGCGCCGCCGGTTGGCTCACCATGCGCGGACTCCGTCGGCATGAGCTCCCGCACAATCTGCATGAATCACAAGGATAAGTACTGAAATTACAGAAATTTACTGTTCAAGTCGATGTCCATAACCGGCCCATTGATATCGATATAGTTGCGGAGTGCGTTTGAGTGGACTGAATCTGGAGATGTGCATAATGAACATAATGAACAATCTGCATCGTTGGGAATATCACATATTGGGGCCCGATTGTATACCGGGTCCAATTTCCTCACTGCTGTCAAAGCATTACACCTAAAAACACTGAAAAAGCAAGAAAACACAACAGCAAGAATCTACCTATACATATATGGGTAGAAATCTAGCTCGTCACTGTTGCGTTCACTTCAGGTGCATTTCACACTCCCAAACTTCGGTTTCAGCATTAATGCATGCGCTATAATCTCTTGAGCAGACAATGCCTATAAAATATTCAAAAGATTTAGCAATCTACATTTGCCATGTGGTAGAAAAGCGGCGTCATTCAGCGGCTCCCATTTACTACTAGTGTACCTGTTTGTCGTCGTGGCTCTTCGAGAACCATCTGTCCGCCACGAAGCCCGCCACCTGGCCAGTGGAGCGGTTCGTGACATCGACCCTGTGGAGGTGCCAGGCGGGCCCCAGGCCCTTGTTGTCGTGGCCCACCACCACCTTAGTCATGATGCCCACGTTGCGCCCCCGCACCACGAACTTGTCGGTGGCCCCTCGCTCAAAGTCGTTCTTGGCGGGCGTCTCCAGAACAAATCTGTGCACGAATCATTAAATCCAAAGTGGCAATATTGCAGCAGAGCACGTGCAAGTACGATCAAGGAAGCAATACACAGATAAGCTACGGCAAACACAATAAAGCAGAATCAATTGCAATGCTGCTAATTGAACGGCGACGTAATCTTGCCTCGCTACGCAATGTTCTTGTTGCTGTTCCATTAAGCCTCCAAACTTTGTTGGGCATTCAGTTTCCACAGTGATTTTGCCCCTTTTGGTTGGGTACCAAACCTGCGCGTGGCGGACTCCTCCCCGTGGATTTCAATGAAAACATTGGCGTCGGTCCCGGAGCCTCGAACGTCGCTGGTGGCAACCGAAACATCGTATTCGGCGATGGGAAAGTGGCGGCTTGCCGCCAGCGTCCTTTCCGTCTTTCCGTCGTCTTTGGACTTGTCTAGCCAACGTTGGCAGAGGAAATAGTACACCTGAAAACCACAGTGCAACGCCTAAAACCACAAACCGGGCACAGGATGTCTGCATGCTCATGTGACCAGCTCGTTTTAAATTCGGCGGAGTTTCATGCCGGAATGTGATCACAAAGCGCACTAGCTCGTCCCATAGGTACATCTGCCCGATTGGGACTTCCAAAAATATATTCATTTTCCGATGTTTGGAAATCTTTCAACTAACGAAGTGAGTGAACATGCATATATTCATATTGACTGCTTATCTGATATATCTCATAACCTCGCCACTCGAAATTTCTCAATTCTGTGGATTTTATTCCAATGTGACGTGGTAAATCACATTTCCTGCATTCGTGTAGCAACGACAGATGTAACAGGCGCCAGGAAACGTTCGCTGTTGAACACTATCCTACTTGGGCGCCAGAAAATATGTAAAATTCTTGTCGCTCTAGGTATTTCTTGTCTCATTTTTCCATTATAGATTTGCATTTCAGTGGCATGGGCCTTATGCGGTCGAATGAATGAAACTGATGAATCAATCAAGTGCACCATTCGCAGTCCTCGTCAGGTGCTGAATTTAATGCGTTATGTGAATCTGAATTCACGGATATCACATTAGCATTGTATTCTCGAGCAAAACTTCGAGAAGCAACTCCAGGAAATAGAATAGAAACAAAATTTTGGCGTCCAGAAGATTCGCAGGAACGAAATACTGCATCCTTCGGGATGAAATCCATGCGTTGCTTCAACAAGCAACGCAGGGAAGCTTGGTCTCAACGATCCTCACTCCAGTTTTTGCCATTATCCAGGAATACACATATTGGCGCCCAGGTTTAATTGGAATTTTGCGCATTTTATATGTTCAACTTGTGCCAACGCAGCAGTGCTACATACTGTTGCTGGCAATTGATGAGCCCGCCGTATCATGGATGTGCAACACCACCTCGAGCACCTCGTGTACTTCGCCCTAGGAACGGGCGCCCTTTGGTCAATGCCCGGCAATCTGGCGGATCAAACTGCCGTCATTTACCAGAACTGGGAGCGGAGGCCTGTAGATTTATTGGCGCAGTATCCGCCATAATGGAATGAATAACTTCAGGGGCCACGTGTTTTTTCTTGACTTGGAGCGTCTAAAATACAAATCAGCCCGGCAGCCACCCACATGCGGAGAACATACAATTACCAATTCCAACATATGCAATATATACAATTCCTACTATACACAATTCCTATTTATCTAATTTTGGGGTCACCTGCTGATCGGCAACATCCGTGACGGCGATGTAATCCAGATGCCATCCCGCTCCGAAGCCCTTGCCATCGTGACAGACCCTCAGGTGCGTCAGGTTACCGAGGCTCGCGGGCACCTGCAGTGAGGAGCTTGGCTCAAAACGCTGCGGCATTTCCTCTCCATAACAAATGCAGCCACCCAAGTACTTAGCAACTGCAGGTAGCACATCGAATCATCAATATGATGCAAGTAGCATCATCGCATGACTGAGAAAGATTCCAAACTGGCATCTTTGTCCAGTTTCCGTGAAGTTGATTATCTCCTTATGCCGTCTAATCTCAGCAACATTCAGAAGCTGCAAAACTTGGTTCTGAAGCTTTGCCTTAACCCACAAGACCCAGTTTGATGATGTAAGCATGGCAGCGACGGATATCGACGGCACAAGTCGGCGCAGGTCACCACGAAAATCATCCGTTGGAGACACGATAGCTCTGCATACGGCTGATATTGGTGGGCCAAACGATTAAAGGGGGGAGGGTACCTGCAGCACGAATTCATCCTCGTCTCCTCGCTCGAAAGGATTCTTCTTGCTCGAGACCAACTGCTGGGCCCCGCTGCTGCCGGCGTCGCCGATGAGATCGACGAAGACGCGGGAGTCCGTGCCGGCGCCCTTCTCGTCGCTGGTGTGGACGACGACCTGAAGCAAACCATCGGGACGGCCATTTACCTCATGCTCAATAACTCCATTCCAACGCAGCGCCGTGATTTGTGCGGCTGTGTGGGAACATGGCTATTTAGCCATTTTGAGGAGATTTTGGGCAATATTTGGTGGAACGTCATTCGCCCACAACACATTTTGTTGTCCACAAGTGCAGAGTACTGCGGAGAAACTTCGCATGACATGTTGCTGCTGTCGACAGCAGCATTTCATGCGATGAAGCGCCGGCAAACACGCTGCTGCGACATCCTCCAAGGTGGGATTGTTTGCTGCCGCATTCGCTCGCTGCTTTCACCAGTGTGTAAAGCTCTCATTGGCTCCTCGCAACCAGAAAAAAACATGCCCACTGGTTCCGCTCGCAATAGCTAAGAAAAAGAGGCCATTCGCTGGGGTTCATTCCCCCCTCATGCCCGCATTTCGGCAAAAGAACCGCGCTTTTTATATTCAAAGCGGCAAATCAAGTATTGGCCAGACGCCAAATTTTGATTGCGTGTTTCAGAAAATGTGTTGGTGAACTCGAATCCATTTAGAGACAGATTCATGTATTCTTTGCACGGCTTACACCGAGCTGCCCTTTTTGAATTGGAAGGTTATATCGTCCGCTGAGAATCAACTCGACCGCTGTTGCCACGAGGGTCGACAAAGTATCCAGGCAACAGTGAGGTGGTGGTGGGCGCGTCTGGGTTGCGGTTAATCAAAATGATGGGTTGCATGTTAGGTTCAACTGTGCGCGTGCTCACAGAATGCTCGCATGTACTGCAGACCAGTTACGATCTTTAATTCCTTGTGTGCGGGAAACTTCGTAACAGGATCGCGCGCATTGGCTAATGATGTGGACTCGCGAGCGACAGCAACTGTACGCACAACACGAGTTTCAAATCTGCTAGAACTGTGACAAAATGAGATCAATTGTGTACATCGGTAGGAAATTTGTCAAGGTAGGACACACCAATGATATCCCAACCATTTTAAGAGCGCAGTCTTTTGACAGCTTTGTCGACAGCCACATTCGCAATATTTTGATAGCAACTGCTTGTGGTTGTTTGCGTTTGAATGCTTCGATTCCAACTGAAAGCAAGGCGTCCGCGGGCGGACCTTGTACTTCCTCATTGCTTCCCTGGGGTCTTCCAACCTCGCTTCCAGCACCTTCCGGAACTCGTTCTCCCTGTTCAGCCAGTCGTCGCACCAAAAGAAGTGACGCCTGTTGCGTTCCACGTCCACGACCACAACCATCCTGAGGTGCCAGTCCGCAAGCACCCCCCTTCCGTCGGTCCAAATCTGCAGGCGCGTCAGGCCGCCGATGGGCGCAGATGACTCGATGGTGAACTTGTCCAGCTGGCCGCGCTCGAACGGATTTCTGGAGTTCTGGGAGCTTTGAAGGCATATGTCCTCCGACTCGCCCTCGGTGCCGTGCAGCTTTGCGTGCACGTTGGCGTCGGTGCCGGCGCCCCTGGTGACGCGCATGGAAATTCAAATTGCTTGTCAAGGTCTTGAGTTGTGTCGGTGGAAGACGCTGGGGATTGGCAAGAATTGAAGCTGCGGGAGCGCTTCTGAAAGTCGTGTGAGATTGATCTCTGAAATCGGGTTGTGTGTTTTTTAACTTCTCGTCCATGGTACGAGGCTCTGTGGAAGTGTGCGTTTCAGTCGGACCTATGCAGATTGTTGTTTCTGTTTGCTTTTCATCAGTTCGTCGTCTTGGCGAAGCTCTTCGCTTTGGCGGATCATCGGCAAGGCTTTGTATCGTATAATTAACGAGCGAGAAGATTCTGGCTCCGCTGTATCGGCGCATTTGGAGAAACTTTTGACAGAATGGGTACAGCGTATAGAACAAGTATTAGGGACTATTTATGCCTAATTCGCAATGAAAAATGCATCATGTGTTTGAAAGTGTCCCTTAAAAATTGCTGTAAATCTCCACCCTATAGACGCTATCTCGTGTGGGCGTAGCGGAAGCTTGTTAAGAAAGTCATTTGCGCATTTTGGGCGTGGTCAAAAGAGAGCTAACGGCTAGAAAACCGCCTTAACATGCACGTATGCTGGGGCAGGGACGTAGCAGTCAAGGATCGATTGGAAAATGATATGGATCATAGGCGTTCTGATGGTCATTGGTATTCCCGTTGCTTACGTGTAATTGCGCCAGCCCACCTTATGTCGGAAGTCAAGACCTCGATGACGTACTGCCGGAAGGCGATCGCGTTTGCCGACCCAGCGGGACTGAGCTCGATTTCAGTGCTCCCTTTTCCCTTGTCCTTCGGAAGCCAGCGATCTGCGAGGAAGGTCCAACGGCGCATGGATCTGGCGTGGCACACCTCCACTTTGGACAGGTGCCAAGCGGCCGCGAATCCCTGCACGTGTCCCCAGATTCAAATGACTAGATTTGATTGCTGTATTTTGGGCGCCCGCAAGCTGAAGTGGACATTTGACGTCCTAAGAGATTGATTCGATCGCAATCGCTTTAGTATTTAGTCAGAAAATGCGCCAATGTAAGATAGTTATGGCAAAGTTTTCTGTCGAAGTTTATTCTGCACCAGGAAATTTCTTTGTCATTTGGCAGACGATGGTCGCGTTCGGTTATTTCAGCCCTGGTTCTGACGATGTAAACATCGGTAGAATTTGCTTTTGCCGATTTCGGTGCAAATTTATCCCCAATCTTTAGTTGATATTTTGTTGGGACTAACAACGAACGACATCACGAACGGCAGTGAGCAAGGAAGAAAATATGCATACTCGACACTGCAGACGGGAGCTGTACCACTCGCTCGCCACGCTGGACACCATCGCGCGCCACCAATACTTGCTCTCACTTCACTCACCCGCCCTCCTCACCTTGCCGTCATGCCCGATCTTTACACTTAGCAGCTCCCCGAGATCCTTGCCCACGATCTCAAACTCGTCCTTGGAACCCCTCTCGAAATCGTTCCTGCCCTTGGCATCCAGGCCGTGCCTCACTCCCCAGCCCGCCTCCCCGCGAAGCTCCAGAAATACATTCGCGTCGGTTCCCGCTCCTTTTGTGTTGCTCGTGTGCACGGTCACGAGATACGTTGTTTTTGCGGCTCTGGGGTCCGTGGCGGATGCTTTTAGCACCTTGGTTGAGGATCCGGCGGCCACGGCTTCATCGAGCCAGGAGTTGCACTCGAGGTAGTAAGTCTGGCGCAGCGGAGCGTGAACACTTCAGGGGTTTGATGTTCTTTAGGTTCTCGTCATTTTTGAGGTGCGCGACAAAAAGATGACAAGATGATATAACTATGTTTCATCGATGAAAACTCCACAAAGTACTGTTGCACCCACAGTGTGTGTTGCAGTCATTTATCGTGAGTTCATCGAGAGTAAGCAATAACGGCAGCTGATTCACTGATTGTGGTGACGGTACAAGTTTGATTTTGTATATTTCTATGGATTGCTTTGAAAATAGAGGGACATGTTCTTCCAAAGTGGATACACTTAAGAAGGAAATTGATATGCGAAATAATCGGATGTGACATCACGCCAGCATCGTGGCATGATTTCTCGATGATGCTCTTTACGGCAGGCCTATTACCACGTAATAGTGCAATCGTCAGCAAGATACACATTGCGTTCCGAACCAGATTTCTATGCGTCAAGTCCCATATCTTCTAATAGGCCTGCTGAATTATGTTTTAAATTATAGATTCCAAAAACAAATAGCCCTCTATAAGAGTCGAAAATAAGTCATTGGGTTGGTATCCCTTGCCTTCGTGTTCCCCCATTCATGCCCCTGCCACTCTAACTGGCAATCATTATGTCCCAACAGATTAAGTTACTCACCCGACTTCCTTACTAAACTTCCTTGGCTTCTTTCGTCTGTTTCCCTCTCGTCCACTAAAATGTCGACATTTCAATTCATAATCAAATATACCATAATTATACTCTAGCGTACCCCTGAAGATCCTTACATTACTCTTTCTTGAGGCCTTCGGCCACCAAGAATCAGCCCTGTTTCATATCAGCTAACGTCATCTAAGCAGCGCATTACACGCCTTTTCTCTGGTAAATTGCACTTGAAAATGAAGGGCCAAATAAAATGTGTTCAAACGCGTGCAAAATTTGTTCTTTTTCTTGATTTCAGCACGCAGAACACTGAGGAAATGCATATATGTTTGTTCGAAAAGTGTTTTTATCCTTTTTTCCTAGTGTTAATTTATTGCACTTCATAAATTATTGCGTCAGTCGTTTTATATGGAAGAACACTCAATCGTTGCTACTGATTCACCACATCAGTAGAGACCACCATTCTTGCGATGCCGACTGCGATGCCGCCTGATACGAATTGTTGCTATCACAGCTGCCCTTTTGTCCGTCGCAGGTGATTGCGCAATCACTGCCATGGCACCGCCCAAGCGGCATCGCAACAATGGCGTTCCTTCTAGTGCTAAATTTTCGGGCTTCCAATTCCCATACCTTTCCGGACCTGACGTCCGTGACCTCCGCCATCTCCAGGTACCACCCCGGGGAGCCGCCCGAGCCGTCGTGGCCGACCGCCATCTCCAGCAGGCTCCCCACGGCGGTGCACGACAGGTCGAACGCGTCGCACCGGCCGCGGCGGAAGGAGGCGCCCGTGTCCTCAAGGTCCAGGCGGCCAGAGGTGCCGCGGTCGCCAATGAGCTCCACGAAGACGTTGGCGTCCGTACCCGACCCTCGCGCTTGGCCGGTGTAGAGAAGGACCTGGGATTGTAGCCTCAGAGTGATTCCGCGGAGAGTATGTACTACATCGTAATGCGTCACATGCTGCAGGTGATTTGGTCCAGATCGCATACACTGCGATATGTCACAGGTTTTCCAACGCAGCGCGCGCCGGTAGGAAACGACGTTTCGGCGATGCCAACTGCGATTACATTTGACACCCATTGATGCCACCACAACCACTTTTTATGCCATGGTAATCCCCGCGACGGCGCTACAGAGTGCAAAAAGATCCTCACAGCTGGCATCGCAGAAACGGAGTTCTTGTGCCAGTGGTATAATAAATATACATTAAACATGCGTGAATAGAGTTATCGCGCATTACAGTCGCGCCTTGACATGTCTAAATTGGATGATCGGACCCCTCTGATTCTGGAATTCTGACCACATTGGCAGGCAGACATTCAAGCATCGCGCTGTGTGCATCTGCTGCCAACCTTATATTCGCCCCTTTCCACAGCAAACTGGGCCGGAGTGAGGGTGCGTTCAGTTCCTCTGTCGGGGGACAGCCAGCCGTCGCAGCAGAAGTACAGCTTCTCTCCTGCACCAAACACCCCTCCCCTTTATACCACGCAAGTTCCGTGAGCGGAAAAAAGCAACCTGTTATGTCGAATTTCTATTAAAGAAGGCCTGTCCACGTACTCTGTTTACCAGGCCATGCAGCGTGATTGTCTTTCGGCGTCATGGTTGTGCAACGTGATGTAAGCTTGTGAAAGCGAAATGTGTGACTTTTTGCCAGTTTGGTGCAAGTGGATTTGTGAGTGAGTGGAGGCAACAGGCGAAAGAGACATGCCAGAAAATCAGACACAACCAAAAAGAACACAACTTCCTTCTCGCACCAGATCCGTGATGAGATGTTTAGGGAAAAGTGACATCGAACGGATCACAGAAACTGCGTGATCTTGCGAATATCTCGCGAGTATCGAATCAATCATTGGGCATAAAAAAAGGATAGTGCCTTTAAATGGGTCCAGCCTTGCCAAGCGTTGGAGAGAATATGAAAGGCTGTCAGCGACATTGGAGCAAAACAAGAAAGAGATACATGGCCATTCGAAGGCAGACTCAAGATTCGGCTATCGCAAATGCCCCATAGACTTCGTTGCAGAATATGAAGGTCATAAAGGCCGTCCGCTCAGTTCGCAGCGCATTTGCGTCATATCTTTTTCCAGGCAGCCGAAGCCGATCTCATATGAGAAAGCTGCAAGCCCCAAATGCATATGATGGGTTGGGCACCTGTTACCACGGCTTCCATGACTACCATGTGCAGGCGCCACCCGGAGCGTTGGCTCTTGCCGTCATGCCATATCCGCAGGCTCTGTATTTGGCCAAGGGGGTGCAGCCTCAGCGTGAATGAGGACTCGTCGCCCCTCTGAAATGAGTTCTTGGATTGAGGCTCCAGCTGCATGGGCCCGCTCGACCTTGATTCGCCATTGATTTCAACGTAAACGTTTGCATCTGTGCCGGCGCCCCTAAGGTGGATGAAAAACACCCCTTCAAGAAACATTTTGCGGAGCCCAGTACTGCGAAATGCTGAGACTCATATTGATGTATTCAAAACAGGGTTAATTTGCGCGGAATGCAAGGTGCATGCGTCCCAATGAAATCCGTTACATGATAAACTCGCCTTGATAAACCAAAGTTTTCTGGATCACATTGGTGGATCGCGGGCAATTTCACTGTTACCTTCAATGCGCATTTCCTAGTACACCTACCGGGCCAAGGGATGTTGTATACACAATAATGCGCATGTGTTCAAATGCACAATATAATACAATGCAAAGTAGTGTGGCTCGTGTAATGAATGTAATATACAAACAGTATGTATTGTGCGATGGCCAGCACGAATATTCCAATTCTGCGTTTCGCGCAAATGTGCCCATGCACAGAAATGCTGCATATTCCATGCTTTGGACTACATATTTTCAGGCACCAATTCTGAGTCAAAGGCGAATAGACAGACATCCCTACCTCTGATCCGACGTGTGGACCATCAGCCTGTACTCCTGCATGAGCCTGTCTGGATGCATGCTGCTCGCCTCCGCAGTGGCTTCCAGGCCATGAGACTTTCCCATCCATCGATTGAAGGCAAAGTAGGCGATAGCGCCGTCCGAGGCTCGCCGAACCGACACGTGGGATACGTGCCAAGCGGCGCCGGTCCCAGACCCGTCGGATCGAATTGTGAGCGACATCATGTCGCCGACCCGGGACAGGCGTTTGAGATCAAATTCGTCCACCTGCGGGGGCGCGAGAAGCTGAGCTTTGCAACGCTGCGAATAAGTTTTTAAGCATTACGCAATGGTGTTTTGGGGGAAATGGAACAAGATTTATTACTTATTGTATAGGTTTGTACCAACATTTTCCAGACAAGCAGTTGTCTGGAATTCCTTGAAGAACTCAAGGAACTCAAGTTGCGCTGGGGTTGCCAGTTTCATTCTCTAGAGTCCCAACTTCGGGCGACGTCGCCAGAACTCCCCGCGACAGGAGAGGCGAAGTCGCCACCCGGATGCCCGTGGCGTCGGACGGAGAACTGAGAGCCCTGCCGACGCCACCGACGGGCCCGGCGCCACACGACCACCCCCCAACACTAGCGGTAATCCCGCTCACGCTGCGAACGCCCATCCATCTTCTCAACCCCTTTTGGCGGCGTTGCCGGGGGTCGCGCCACCGTAGCCGGAGGCTGGGCCTTTTCTCGTTGCATTGATATGACAATGACTCGTCCGTCGTTGAGAGATGGTTGTATGACTATAAAGGGACATGCCTGTCCGTGACCTATCTGTAACTCTGTACCCTCAGCTGTGTCCCCAAGCCCGTGGCTGTGCCTGCCTCCGATATAGTCCCACTCTGAGCCATGCGTAGCATGTGGCACCCGAGGCAGGGGGGGGATTGCAGGACTATGCAGCTGCGTGGCATGGTGTAACGCCGAGGCGCGCGCGAGCGTTGTGCCGCCTCATGCTGTGGTGCGTGGGAGTGGCGACGTGATGAATGGCGTCCAGCGATGGACATGGAGCGGTCGCGCAAGAGCTGAGGCGAGCGCAACGAAGGCGTGACTGAGGGCGGTGGACGACGCGCGGGTCAGTTCCGTCAACGCCGCGGTTGTGCGTTCGCTGGAGTTACAATGGCAGAGTTGCGATGGAGGCCAACACGGCACCGCTGAGCGGTGATGGGCGAGTGTGAGCCACGCCATTGGTCGGAAGTGGTAACTTGAGTGGATGGCTGTGTCTGAGAGATCACGTGCTTGGCACACAGCACGCACGACCCCGCAGCAAGGGTTGCGTGATGAAGAGTCAGCAGGACGGCGGCCCGTGTCAGCTCATGCCAGCTGGCAGTGTGGTCCTACATGGAGACCCGTCACACTGATACGGGTTGAGCGTTACTACCATGTCAAGCGAGTACGTGGCACAGCATGAGCGAGGCCCACGTGGCAATTCCAATGCACTGGGCATAGCATTGTCTCTGTTGTTGGGGGCGCGCACCGAGCGCCGATGGGTCAGCTTAGGTCGAGTTGTTGAGATGCCCCATGGAGGTGGCGAGGTTCGCCAAGACGTGTTGCTCTTGAGTTTGATGGTTCCTTTCCGAATCTGATTTCTTTCCATGGATTCTTGAGCCGATGCTCTGGCTCTTGATGTGTTTCTTTGAGACCGGTTTTCGTGTTCGTGTTCAAGGCCCCACATGACGGCTGGCCAAGTGTTTGATGGATTCTTGAGCTGATGCTCTGATTCTCGATATGTTCCTTTGTGATGGGTTTGTGTTCGTGTTCAAGGCCCCCGCACATGACGGCTGGCCAAATGTCTGAAGTTTTGAGTGACTTCTTGATGATGGTTTCTACCAGTTTCCTGGTTCCCTTGGTTCGTTTGGTTGAGGTGATTACACGTCGAGGGCGACGTTCTATGTGTGTTGGGGGCGAATGATATGACAATGACTCGTCCGTCGTTGAGAGATGGTTGTATGACTATAAAGGGACATGCCTGTCCGTGACCTATCTGTAACTCTGTACCCTCAGCTGTGTCCCCAAGCCCGTGGCTGTGCCTGCCTCCGATATAGTCCAACTCTGAGCCATGCGTAGCAGCATCAATGTTGATGGAATTATATAGGTAAACGTTCAATGGATGCTGTGCATCAAATGGGACATTCTAACAATTTCGATTGTTTTCGAACGATAATTTGTAGTTTCCAGCTCAGTTCTGCTCTTTGCGTTATCGCCTAATTGACTTGGCACTTGGTAGCTTGCCATTGGCTAACACATAATCACTGTAGCTTGGGATTGGAGCCAGCCTTCGTAATCCCGTGCCTCATCGATACAATTACAAGAAAGCCTGGCTGGCCAGATTCTGAAAGCATAGAGCAAATCAATGTGTGCATGAGAGCAATGCAAAAAAAAGCATACATTTGCCTGAATGGACAACATATGAAAGCCAAATGCGTACATGTGTAGGAAAATATCTACTTGGATGACTCCATCCTTACATGGTTTCAATGTGGGCGGGAGAGCTGAAAATAGACAGTTATGGTGAGATTTCAAACTGCAATTTGGCATATGTGTGTATCTACATACGACTGCATACATTTAGACTATTCAAACACACACTGCACTGTGACTATGTATTGTCTGAGAATAACAGAAATTTCAAAAATGTGGCGCCTGTAATATGAGCATGCAGAATGCACAGCAAATTTCCATCCAATGTAAATTTACGTCTATTACTGTTCAGCGTCTGCACGAACTTACCGGGACCTTCATCGTGGGAGAAAATTTTACCACTCTCTTCATATCTTGAAATTTATTCACAATTTCATGTGTTTTATTTAGACAAAATTTCCGGCCCATGCAACCCAGGGGTGGATATCCAAATTAGATGTTCACATACAAGATGAAACAGATAGGGCAAACAACGCAATATTTCCCCTCTCTATGCAATTTCATCTCGTGGGTGCGCCAGGCAGCAATGCCGAGAGCCAGCAAATGGCTGCTTTTGCGCCATTCAGCGTGGGCCCAAGAATCCCGCCAAACCGATTTGAAATAAAATTACGCAATCTAGCGACAAACGAACGCAGTTGCTTTCTGCTATCTGGGCCGCGCACCTTCCCCCTCTCAAACGTGTCGTGCTCCGCCCACAGCCTTTGGAACCCCGTCGATCCCTCGCTTCCACACAAGTTAAGACTGACGTCCGCGTCCGTGCCCGCCCCTTTCACGTCGCTCGTGGCCACCGACACGGCGTAGTCGTCGCGATCTCCCCTTCCGCGGGCGCTGGGCTCGAGCACCACTCTCGCAGGGGCGCCTCCGCCCAGCCACGAGCGGCAGAGGAACAGAATGGTTTTGGCGCCTGGCGGGGCACCCTTGGTGACCTCCACGGCGTCGAGATGCCAGGCCGGAGATCGCCCTGAGTTGTCGTGGTGGATGGCCAATTTCTGGATTTCTTGTATGTTCGGGGCTTCCACGACGAATGTGTCGACCTTGGAAAGAGGATGAACACTGTTTGAAGTTAAAAGCGTGGAGAAATGGAATGCAGCTCTCTGAAAGAATTGGGGCACCAAGCGCCTATG